TTCGCCAACTGAGAAGCCATAATAGATCTCACCAGAAGGGCCAAAGCGCTTCGAACGCTGTGTACAGCCATCGCTCGCGGCTCCATCTGCTCGTGGGGACTTTGAGGCCAAACACCACGCACGCACCCCCTGGTGCTCTGGGTATGCCTGGAGCTGAGCCCCATTCCCTGCTCCCGCTCCCCGGTGCTGGGCTGCTAACTGAGATCTGGGAGCTGCCTCTTTTCATTGAAATTGGGGAAATAATGATTTTTTCGCTAACGCGGGGCAAGAGGAACTCGCCGGCCAGGGAGGCGAGAGGCTCGCCAGTTACTGTCTATGGAAACACAACTTCAGCAGCACCAACAGCCAGGGCGGCTGGCCGCGAGCCAGGCGGAGGTGCCAGTGCTGCGGTGTATTTAAAGGGTATGCCTTTTCCAGAGCGGCCAGCCCGCAGGGGGCTGGCTCCCAAGGACACGGCAGCCCCGGCCACGTCCCCCCTGCCCCATCCTAAGCGTTGCGTGGATCCCTGCCCCACCACAGCATCAGCAACGCAGACCCGCGTGGACGCGCACCTTTCCTTGCCAGCCACCAGCACCTCTCCAACCCCGCTCCTGGCGCGCTGGATGCTGCGTGGAAACGGAGCCGAGGATGCCCTCGCCCCCGGGTGCTCTCGGCCCCGGGATGGAGGAGTGGGAAGGGGTGGAAGGAAGGTCCCCGGGGAGGAGTGGGGGTGAAAGAGAGAGCTCAGGTGCTCCCGGCTCAGCATCCCAAATCCCCACCCCGGCGGCGGCCGCAGATGGAGAGCGCTGAGCAAAGTGCAGGGAAAGGAGTTTTCCTAAAGGAAAACTGTAAGGCGAGGCTCCGCCAACCCCGCTCCCTTTGCTAAAAACAAGCAGCAAACTCCAAGTACCCGGTAAAGCACAAACCTGAGCTTGGCTTTCAGTCCGGAGGGCTCCCAGGGCCAGCGGCCTCCCACCCTGACCCGCGACCCCCGGGGTTTTGGCATGGAGACCCCCTTGGGACAAGCCCCCGGCTGCAAAG